AATTTTCAAAAAATTAGGGAAAATCGAAGGAAGAACGATTTGAACAGATAGGCAATTGTTTAGGGATCGACCATCATGAGCTGTTCCGATCCAGCCAAATGATTCACTCGACTTTCTATGTCGATTGGTAACGTAATTAGGGCGAACGATTGAGATGAACCCCCAAGTATTGATCAATAAGGAAGGCATAATTTTTCAATGCCAAAATAGTATTGCTCACAATGACATGGTTTCGTTTAAACGGAGGAAAAAGGTTATACACGATTCACCCTTAAATACCCGGCACCATTGAACGCAGTTATATAACAAGTTTTCATAATAAGGTCTTACGCGAGAATTGGTTATCAAAATATCTCAAAAATAGCAGCCTATACGTTAATTAAAAAGAATATGAGACGGGTAATTGGGCAGAGTAGCTTAAAATCACTTTCTGAATCGATCGGTATAAAAAAGGTGGGACTATCTCTGGTCATTGCATGCATAACGCGCAATATCTTTGCACCACAAGTGGTTTTGGATATAAAAATCGTAGTTAAAATGAAAAAAAAAAGAGAAAAAATCGCTTGACTTTTACGAAGTTTTCATTTTACTGCACTTAATGTATCAAGTGTACGCTATTTATCTTAACGACCACTGCAACAGCGGCGTTCAGATGAACGTATAAAAGCATAGATAAGCAAATTAAAAGCTTCAAATGAATTCAGAATATTGCGTTGATTGAACGCTTTATACATGCATCAAAACAGTAAATAAATAATCGAGTATTGTTTGGTTTCGCGTTTCTATTGAAGAGGGAAAGTAATAAAATTCAACGAAATCGAATTTACGATAATAAAAATGACAAGAATAATTTGAAAATCTTTTAATCCTGAAATGAAACCTCAAAAGGCAAAATCCAATATCATTTTCTTTAATTAACTAAATTACTTCAAATCTCATTAAAATCTTCTTGGTGTTGTACGGTAGTAATACGAATTTGTTTTCTCTTTTCTTTTGCATCGAGCGAAAAACTGAGTGAATTTCAAATTTTATGAATCGTTGTTATGTGTTGCTTGGCGTACGGTTTGTTGTTTCTTCTTTCTGGATTCTTTGTTTCTTCATTTTTAATTAATATCAAAAACCAAAAAAAAAAAAAAAAAATATACAAGAAATATATCAAAACTTTTCTTAAAACTAACTTTAAGCTAGTTTACAGTAGACAGAAGAGCCGGAAAATGTATAAAATATAATCTAAAAGATCGGCAGCAGTAACAGCCTACAGTATAAAAGTCCAGAATTAATCTCAATTCACTTTGTGTTGTACTTAATTGAATTTCAATTTATGAATGCTAAGAAATGAAAGGAAACAAAAACACGGCGAGGACCCAAAGTAGAGGAATACAACAAAACAAGGAAAGTCATTTTTCGAGGCAAACTGCCAGAATATGTTTAATGCTTTCTCCTAAAGTAGAAATGCAATAAGAACAATGAACAAAACGTATTTACATTTTTAATTTTCAAAAGTAGAACATATTTTTCATAGTTTTCACATAAGAACTTTCAGCATGAGTTGCGTTTTCTTCGTTTCGTTATTGTGCGGTTAAAATAAGCCGGAAAAGCGTAGTTATTAATTATACATTACTATACGGAATATACACGTACACGAATGTCTTCATTCTACGCACAGTATTTGAAAGAAGAGAGCCCAGACATCAGGCATCAGAAACATTATGAGGTCTATAAATAGAAGAATATCTATCTGACGTATTAAGTTTCATAAACTTCGCCAGAAAATATTAACGATTTGACGAAAATTGTATCCCAACGAAAAAATGCAATTAACTCGTCGAAATTTTCCTGCGACGATTTATTAGCAGTGACACAGAAGCATAACCCCTTGCCATTTTGAAAGGCTACTATAACGAGTTATATTGTGGGAAGGTAGTCTAAAATCACTTGTTCATCTAAAAAACATTAATATATTGCAAGAACAAAATGATGAAAGACTGACATTTTAAGGCAACCTTAGGCATTAGTTCAATCAGCATATATAAAATATTTTATGCTAATTGAATGAAAAAGAATTCTCGATGGGTTCCACTGGGTTCCATTTTACGAAATCTAAAAAAAATTCTCGTTTCGAATTCTGGTTGTTGCAAACGAATGATTGAGAAATACAGTAGTGGTGCCTCAATCGGTATATATGACGAATCATGGATCCACTTGTATGGGCCGGAAAGTGAACAAAAGTCGATTTTATGAGTGTTTGAAGATGATCAAATCCATAATAAGTTGCTCGCACTCGATGCTCATCGAAGCAAATGGTTGCATGTGTTTTCGCAAAATATGATCATGCAGCAACAGCGTCTTTCGACAAACATAGAGCCATCAATTCCGAATAGTACACAACCGTTTTTGTGCGGATAACGTTTGCTGCAATAATATAAACAAGCAAACGTGAGCTCTTACGCACCTCCTCTAACAACCCTCTATTTAAAGTTTCAGAAAATTGAATTAATGAGTCAGTCGCCTCATTGCCCAGATATGGCGTCTAACGACTGTTTTTTTATTTCCGAACCCCAAGAATGAATTGCTTGGAGTAGTTTTTTCTATTGACGCATGAAAGTACCATATTTTGAAGGCGTCTCAAGCGAAATGAGAAATTTTCACGGCTTAAATATGAGAGAAATGAAGTCATCAAAAATGAAAAAAAAAAAAAAATTAGGATAAACAAAGTTTTGACTCATTATCAATGGCAAGCATTGATTTGCAATTTTGTTTGACTATTTCTCAGAGTCAAGTCGGCCACAGTCAACCAATATCTCTTCAGTTTGCTGAAAGTGAAATTTATATGCTTTCGTTTACAATAACCCTAATCTAATCTCTTCATTTTGTGGGAAAGTTATCTAAAAAATTTTAATTGAAGGTCTTACAGTTACTTTCGCTTTTGGTTATCTTCTTCTTTTACTTAGGACGAATAATTTCCAACAAAACTTTGAAAAAATTCTGAATGCTAATAATTAGTTAAAAATATATGTAAATGACTGCGTTGACCCTTAAGCCACTCTGTTAGGTAACATATTAAATATTTGGAATTGTTGTAAAGCATGGAAACAAGCAGCAGTTAAGAAGTCAGCAAAGTCACATGAACTGATTTACCCATGCCATTCTGCTCCGGGTTTTAAAGCTAAAAACGAATGCAAGTTAAATTTGTTAAGTTTCTGTTCGCCTCTAAATTAAGCCCAAAATCAGACAAATGAGTTAAAGAAAGTTAGCTAATCAATCATAACCAAACGCCTGCTTACCTTTCTACTGCTTACGTTATAATATATATCATGTTAATAAAAATGTTCTTCATGTATTTTATGTTAAATATTTTCCATTTGATTCTGTTATGCTCTCTTCATTTAAGAGTTATTTGTGAACCAATTATTCTTCAAGAAATGCCTGTATATAAGCGCTAGAATTCTAAGAGGCCTTGCCTATGATAGTATTTTGATGGATAACAATATCATCACATTTGTTATTCTATTATTACGCTTACACAATTTGTTGGGTAAAAATGTTCCCCTTTCAATTCACAGACACATATAATTTTTTATATAGTTATTTTATACACCTTTCGCTATTCCTGGAGCTCTATTTATTTTATTGCAGTTATAATGAAGAATAGCGCAAGGAATTAACTTTTGCGTATATGAGAAATAAAATCTGCTTTTTATGTCAGAAGCTTCTTTTCTTATTCGATGCTAGTTCGCCTCTTCTTCTTTTATATTTTACATAATGCTGATCTGGTAATCGTAATTCTTATCAGATAAATGTATTTGACAATATAAATCAGTATTGTACTGCACTTTGTTTCGAAGTGGTGTGAAAATGAAAAATACGTAAAATAAGAAGAAGAGATATTAATAAAATATCAAAAACCGCGGGATTCCCAAACGAAAAATGTAATGGAATGCTTGATTGAACAAGCCGAGGATTAGGTATGATTTTGCGTGGTCATCTAATCTTAGTCACAGCCGATTAAGGAGGTCATTCAATCGATAAATGAATAGATGAGATGACTGCCTTATAAAAAACTATCTTCTTCGTGTTAAAGTAAAATCTAAATTTTTATATTCGATTAAAAATTTCCTTTTCATTTATACGACGCAAGCGTCATAACCTTCCTTAGCGATTTTGCGCATTTAGATTACTTTGAAATTGAAGAAAGAGGCATTCTGCGGCATATTAATGCAATTTTGAATCTTTGAGACAAATTCACATCGAAAGTAACCGGAGGGTGCAGCACTGTGCAAATGTTGCACATGTTGTAGCAATCTTGTCAACAAATTACTCGTACCTAATTCTGACATTAGAATATCATGTTCAATTTCTAGATGCTTATGGTCTTGATTTGAAAAATTTAGTCTGAGCTATGTAAGGAGAGAAATTGAAAAAGTGAAATTATAAAATTTTTTCAATACGTTGTCAAATTTGCAAAATTCCTTCACCTTCCCGGTACCTCTAAGCTTTTATGCCCTTTAAAAAGCATTGAATAATTATAAACCAGACGCGCTTTAATCACATTAACTAAAATTGAATTAGTTGCGAAAAGCATAAGCTAAACGAAGAATTTTTTTTAACAACATAGCAGCGCCAGAAGGATTTCATTTTCAGCGGAATATGGTTTCCCACACTGCATAAACATTTAAAACACATTTCGATATAATCGCTATGTTTGGTTATAGCAACTTATTACTTGGCTTCAATATGCATGCTTAAAGAGGTTACAGGTAAATGGAAGCATGACGCTTAAAAAAAAATTGAAATACAAGTTAAATAAATAACATAGCTGTTTAGCGAGGTGCTGCTGGTGGTTTATTGTTGTTGCTGCTGCATGCCTTAATAAGCACGTAGTATGCCTGGTGTTAAAGCTTTTACTTTTGCATTTCATGCTGATTTTGTTTTTTTTTTTTTTTCTTTTATTTTTTTGGGTTTTTTTTTCATTAATTTCGTTTAATTTAAAGATTACTTACCGCGATACCACACGTGGTAGCCAATCACCGCCACAGTATTTTGCCAATACTGGATCATTTGTTGAACTACCATCATAGAATATTAAATGATCACGTTCACCAGTGCAATCGGACCAAGCACGTATTGAACGTGAGGTTTTATTAAAACTAGCAATCGACCTGTTAAAGAAAAAAATAATAACAATTAGTTGAAGCCAGAAAAAAAAAAAAAAACTAAATCATTATAAGCAGCTTGGAGCAAAATTTTCGATACCGGTTATCATCATCTATATATTAATCTTTTATAAATTGCAAAAGACACACTCCACTTCTCCCTATATTAAACTTTTCTTTGCTTGAAAATGATTCGCGAGCCCTCTCTTAAGATGTTCGAATGGGAAAGGAGAAGTTGCTCTGACAGAATCTCGCAATACCAAACGATATAAGATTTTTCGTAAGTGGTCTACCACTGTAAAATTAAAATATCGTTAGATTTACTTTTCGATTTCTGGCATGATTGCACCAACTTAACTCCACACGATTCGCCGTTCGTCATTTTGGTAGGTTTAAGGACTGGATTATATTTTTTCATCTCAAAATGATCAAAGAGGTCACGGCATTAACGGCATGAATGTTCGTTTTTGTAATTTATTTTGACATGTACGACAATGAATGGCCATCGTTAGATCAGATTGGAACAAAGCTGCCCTTCATCCTAGCTATTATCAGATGATTCATCTTTCTATCGTTTCTTTTTCGATGAGGCAACTTATTTGAAATGTTTTCTTAGTAGGGGGTTGAGTTTTCAATTTCCCAAAAATATCAATTAAAATTCGTTGCCAGTCTTTAATTTTTGATTTTTTTTACCTGCACTAGTTATTCTTTATCTTTCAGTTATAGACAATTGTATATCAAACCGTTCAAATCAGGCCATATATCTTGACTTGAGGAAATTTTGAGATTTCCATATAGCATATAAAGATGGTTGCATGAAAAAAATCTATACCGAAATGTCAGAGCTTATCGTTTACAATTTGGCATAATTCTATTGTGATTGTCAAGAAGCAAATGAAAATGAAACGTGAAATGAAATTGTAAGTGTAAAGTGGAGTAATTAATTCAGAAAAAGTCTCTAGTGGACGCACATGATAGTCACTTGTTACAGAAATTTATGCTATATCATATTAATATTGAGTACTGCTAGATGTGCCCTTCCCTAAACGTAAACGCTTACAATTAAATTATGTTTTTAATACCTCTTAACTAATGCTTTATGTTGATTTTCTTGGCTCACAGCTATCATGGCATGTTTACTGGTAGGAACTTCTTTCTGTCGTATCGTCCAATAACAGGTTACATTTCTGGGATACATTCCTGGATAATTTGGACTTTGTAAACGGCATTTGTTGCGATAGCATTCATCAAATTGCCGCGTACAGTAAGTACCGGGCGTTACTCGTCCCAATTCAAGTGGCTTGTCCGGTAGGCCATACCTGAAAGCAGTCGAACACTATTGCTTTAATAAATTTTTTTTGTCGACTAAGTGGATACAATTTTGCTTAGAAAAATGAATTGATTGCTTACTTGCATTACAACAATAAAAAAAAGAATTTATTTCTATTGACCATTATATAAACATGAATGTATCAGTTATAAAGTAATTCAAGAAAAATAACAATTTGTTTTCTTCTTTTTTTTTTTTTTTTCTTTCTTGTGAAAAAACAAGTTTAGAAAAATTACAAATCTCTATAACATAACAAAAACAACCGAAAAGATACAAAAACAAAAGGCGAAAGAACAGAAATCAATTTTTTCTTCTCTCGGATAAATGATTGAAATACATTTCCTCATCTACGAGCTATCGTTTGAGTAAATGGAGAGCCCTTAGATTAAAGTATTTGAAAATTGTACACAATGGTAAATGTGCTTAAGCTTTCAAAATTTAATACTTGCCCATGCAAACAATTGCAATCTTGCAAAACAAATTCAAAAGACAAACAATCAGATATGAGAGAATTACAATTGTCATTTACTAGATTGATGTACGATGCTTTGATAGTAAAAAAAAAAAAAAAAAAGAAGGAAGTAGTGCAAAAAGTTCTTTACAAAAAGTGTCAACATACAAGCTTGTCACACAAATACACTTACACGTTTATATATGTATACATATCTATACAACTACAGATATTGTTACGTATACACATATGCAAACATAAGTATTTGTTTGTTTTCTTTTTTTTTTTTTTTTTAATGTCTATGCATTTATATCTAAAACATTTATAAAAAAAAAGGGTAAAAAAATGACTTAAGAGAATGGAAATGAATGTATCTCAAAGATCCAACATTACATCGGTTAAAAGCATATGCTCAAATGCGTGCAAATGCGAGCAAATATGCGCAAAATATTTTTATAAGTTAAGATAATAAACTAAACAATTTGGTTATGTGTATGCGTGCCAATACTTGTGTGTACATATATTTCATGTGTGAATTAGTTACACATGACTGACTACTATTCTAGATGTTGTTGTTGTTACATTATTTTTTTCTATTCTCCTTTGCAAGCTTGCTTGCGTGCTTGCCTGCCTATGTGCCTGCCTGCCTGCCTGCCTGCTTGCTTGCTCACTTGCTTGTTTTGGTAACAATGTCGGCATGTAACTCTGGCTTTTATACTCTGGGAGTTAGTTTATCTATGAATTTTATTATGTGCCAAACAAATATAACATTTAACAACACAAATACGTACAATGTATACACATTCAGTTTATTGTTATTATTATCGTAGTGCATATATATGTTATTACTTTTGCCACCTCAGCTAACGACAACAATCAATTTTATAATTTAGAAGAGTAGCAGTAAAATAAACGAATGTAAAATAAAATAAAATAAAAATTAAGCAAAAAAAAAAAAAAAAAAAAAAAAACAAGAATACATAAAAATAATAATAACATATACAAAAAAGAATGTATTTATATATGTGTGTTTGCAATACCATATATAAACTTTATCAATTGTCTGCTTGCTCTACTTACCTGACAACAGCATCCGACTGACTTATAAATTTATATCTTATACTGAATTCAAATGGTTTTTCCTCTTGCAGGTTTCTCGGTGGATGAAATACCTGTAAAATGTAATTACAACAAATTCAATAATAATCAACATATATGCATCTAAATATTTGTATATATATATATAAGAAAAAGATTATGTAAAACAAAACGTTTAAATATCAAGTATTTTCTTCTTGTCTTTGTATCGCTTTCCTTCTCTTTCTTTGCTTGTCCAGCTCTTTATCTCCTTCCGCCTTTTGTTTTCAAGATAACAGTTAAAAAATGAATACTTGGTTATTTTACAATGCGATGCATAAGTGATTTGCAGTAAAGTAATTTAAACTTTTCTTTTCAATTTTTCCCATAAATTTCATTTATTTTCTTCGTCTCTTATTCCTTAAACAATAGGTAATAAATGTGGCAGAAAATGTTAAGATAACATTTTCAAAATATGAATATTTAACAACAAGTAAGGCAGCTACATCTGTACACACTTCAAGGCGAATATTGGATAGCTAACGCTGCGAGCAACTTTTCGGTTTTTCAATAAATTCATTGCTCACCGAAAGTGATTAACAACAACTCGATATCTCTACAATCTATGTGGTGCGTTGGACCTTCCTGTTTAAAACAACAAGTGAAAGATATGAAATTTTGATTTTCGCAGCGTAGTCCCTAAAACGATATGTGATCCGCTCCTTCCTGTAGAGAGCTGTTTTCTCATACTTTTTTATTAATTTTTTTTTTTTTTTGATCCAAAACTCTTTAGAAAGTCTTTCTATAGGCGAAAACTTGAAACATTCTCCTAAAAACTTTCAATGGATTTTCTTTTCAAGACAATTGAAAGGGCCCACATGGATAGTTTGCAAACGTTATTTTATAATTGATCGGCAGATTATAAAAACATGAACGAATATTACAACACAATGAAAAAACTAGAGTCTTGACAAACCTTATTTTTAGCGATAATCACAGATCAAAACATAAGATGAAGGTCATAAGATGAAAGTTGTGAGCATACTTTCAAAATTCTAGGTTTTGGATCTTTTTATAATTTTTCAAAATTCTAACAAATAATAGACACATACATGGACGAATCAAAGTCCGTCACTAATCAAGGGTTAATATATGTTATAAGACTTTTAATTGGAATGAATATACGTTTTGAAATGTGAATCGCATCATTAAGGGCTTTTTGCATAAAAGTGTCGGTTCAGCTTTAATTTAAAGATAATAGACTGAGGATAGGCCTTATTGTGAACACTTTTAGGACCGTAGAAACGTTCTCAATAGCTATATGTTCTAGTCATGATATTGTAAAGTGAAAGATTCTTTTGTGATTTTGCGTTTTTATCCAACTCCTTTTGCAATGAAATTCGTACCACTGCCTTTTGATTTGCGGGATAGTATAAAAATTATTTACAAAAACTTATATTTGCAACGCTTTCTCGTCTTGTCCTTTCAAATATTTCAATTCAACTATCTTGACTCGACTGACCCACTGCCCACTGCAAATACTTTGCTTAAATACCAAATGTGCAATATTTGCTTATATAATGAAGAATGGCACGCTTTTGGAGTTTGATGTCTTCAAAAATTGGCTAATTTTTATGAAAACTTGAAGTACTAAATATGGGTTTTTCGCAACAATATGTATATTGTGGAGGCTTTTTCTTGAAGATCTTCAACTAAACGATAAATGGATGGAATAATTCTATCCGAAATATTACAATAACTGATAAAGAGTTTTCATATATTTTTGCAGTGGTAGCTTGTTGCTACCTCTCTCTAGTATTTCCATAATGAGCTTATTATTTTGCTACCCATCACTGAAGGATGAGTTTACAAAGTATATATATTCCTGATCGGCATCAAATTCTAAATCAATTCAAGCTTGTCCGTCTGTCCGTCTATGCAAAGTCTGTTATAAATATCCTCCTGGGCGCAAAATGAGAGCTACCGACTTGTAATTTGGCACAAACACTGGAAGTTCTTGCACGCAGTTCGGTATTGAAAATGGACCAAATCGGTCGAAGAAAGCGTCCACAGCATCACGTGAACTGAGAACACTTCTGTTCTTCAAAAGTAATGAAAAATTGGTTTTTTGCTTATTACTCATGAATTATAGCAAATAAATATACACATATTTGAACGCATATTCTATGTAGAATCTGTGCGCAAAAATGGAAAAAATTGACTACGCTTACCCATTATTATAGTGTATCAAAACTTAATTTTTTTTCAATACCTTTATAACGCGTAGAAACAAGCTTCAAAAACCCCGCAAAGTATATAAATACTTGGCCAGTTTCAAATTTGTAACGCAGCTACACATATCCGTCTCTTCGTCTGTCCATTTAGTTATTTGCGTAGCTGTGCGACATTTTGGGGAAACGTTCCCCCGTCAGTGATAATGAAGAATTGCAAAAGAATTTGGAAGTGACCCAAACTTGTCAAGTGACACGTACACAGCGCCCACATGCCTATCCAGACAAAAACTTTTATTTTGAAAGTAACAAAAATTAGCTGCATCCACCTTATATTATAAAGCATGAAAATTTTGTTTTTTTTACTTCTTTTGTCTATTTTAGGATAGGTGACGGGTATAAAAGATATAATTTTCTTACTTGTTTTTTTTTTTTTTTTTTTTGCAATGGTTTACCATAAGCACAACACATCAGTGTCATCGGTCATTTATATATCAAAATGATAAAAATTTTTTTTTTTTTTACATAATTACAATCGAAGAGAGAAAGAGATGATATAGATAGTAAAAATTTACCTTAACTGAAGCTGTCACCGTTGATGTTTCACTAAAATACAATTGCGGTCCAGTGGCTTTGCCACACCATGAGCCGCCAGTGAATGGACGTCCCAGTTCGCTAAGCTTTAAATGAAATGAATTGAAATTAAATTAAATAAGCGTCAAATGCATGCCATGCGTATGAATATATACAAATAAATGTTCAAAAAGGACGAGAATGCTGTACTGTGTCACATATGATAAAATGTATCACCGCAAATGATGAATAATTGAAGTAACTCCAAGAAGCAAAAAGTTTTAAACTCGCTACAATTTATAAATTAACACAAAAATTTAACCGAGACTTTCGTTAGAACTATACAATGCCTTTTCGCAAGATTGCTCCGAAGCATATCAGTTAAGGTTCAATTTTAACAAGAAAATTAGGAATCTTTTGTGTGTTTTCAACTTAGGCGTTGTGTGCGCAATAATCAACTCCCACAAAACTTCATTTCCTTATTTCGTTTTAAATATGGGTTTTGCATACTTTTGTTTCTTGCAGCACTTTGCATAAAATCACGTAAAGTTTAAAGATAGCTGCAACAGGTTAAGACTTGCATAATCCTAGTCATTATGAGGTTGCTTACCTATATTAATCTGACCGCACATAAGCTTCCTGAAGCCTTGGCAAAAACATTGACAAGCAAACGTCGCTGAATGCCGTTGCCGTCATCTCAGTGTACTGACCACAAAGTGTTATGAAATATTGTTAGTGTAAATTTATGAGGAAATTCAGTTTATAAAATCCGGGAAAAATTCAAACCTAGCAATTATGTGAAATGTTGAACATAATACGTAACCATCACGGCCTTTTTTCAGTTCAATATGCAGCAGTAATTTTACAGTATTATCCCTAACAGATTTACATAATATGGCTGAAAATCATTTTTTTAAATTCTTAACTGAATTCTCAGGGTCAAATTAATATAATCGGGATGAGATAAGCATAAATGAGCACAACAATATTCCTATATTTGTAGGGGAAAGGACACTGAGAATTCAGATTTTGTTTCAAGGGATTACAATAGTCTTTTGCGAGAGAGTCCGGAATGATATGAGCGACAGTTTCTTTTCCGATTTTCGATTTCCTTTTCGTGAAGAAATAGCAATTTACGATGAGGAGAGCATGAGCAAAACAAGCAAACCCACTATAATCGAGCAAAGCCGAATAGCTTAGACCACTTGACTTAATACAAGTCCGCTTTTATATTTGTGATCAAATACCAAATATTATACGTTGTGTCTATATAAATCATACCGATCTGCCGTGGTTCAAATTTAGCAAAATTAATTTCCCATTACTTTTTACTTGCTAAAAATTAAAGTTTGTTGTTATTGAAATGCTTACTTTTCACGAGTACCCTTATAGGTGTGTGGTACAAAAAATAGACGTACGTGATCCAAATTTTATAAAATTGATTTCTATGTCAAATTACCGTTATGAACCATTTCCTATTGTGAAATATTGAAAATTAGGCGCTTTTTCTATATAAAGGTTAGCGCTTTGTAAGAACGTTTGGAGAGGCAAGGGCTCGAAGCATCAATTCAAATTCAAATTTTTCACATCAATGCAGATAGCTGAAGTGCTGTTACCCAACGATTTTTGTGGAGAAATTTTGAAGATTACAAACCTTTTTCACATGTCGCAAAATAAAGCGTTATATCGGGAGTGATCTTCAGACTTTGGCTTTTATGTCGAATAATGAATTTACGCTTGCTAAATTATTTCAAATGTTTGCCTTCAGGACGATTTTAGAGTCAAATGTTAGCAAAGATCCAAATCACAATTTTTATATTCATCATAGTTGACATATAAATAAATAAATGAGTAAAGTGTACGTTAGCAATTTTTCTGAGTAATTTATTATTTACAAGTTGCTGCGGTTAAAAAAAAAAACGAAAACGAAAAACCATAAAAAACAGCAGTAAAGAACCGCCCGCACACATACATTACGTAAATACATATATATCCGTATAACAATGTGGTTGGACTGCTGTTATAAAGCAAGTCTACGTAGAGAATATGTATATAGGGTAACGGAATCTCAAGTGTGGTGATAAAGTAGGACTTTTTTTTTTATTTATTAATCATGTAAATGTGTTGGTATATGTTATGCTCAGCTGTGTATATACCTAGTTATATATGCATGCATATGCATGCAAATTATTAACATTCATATCATCAGCATTACGGTCAATATTGTCAGTGTCATGCATTGAGGTTATTTCAACAGTTTTATCATATTTTTTGCTTTTGCTTTTTTTAATTTAAATAAATATTTAATTACTAGCGTGTGATATATATTTATATATATATATATATATATATATATATATATATATAGAGGGGGAGAAATAGGAAAACGTAAACGTATAAAAATTATTCATAAATATTTCATTTATTTTTAATTTCATTTGAAACTCTTCATTTTTCTAAAATAAATAGAAAAAAAATTTGAAAAAATTGCTTCTACTTTTTTTCTTCTCTTCTATTTATTTGTTCAGAGAAAAATTAATATTTTAATGACTCTTTGTGAACACGAAAGTAAAAATGAAAATCATATTTTAAAAATCATTTTTTGTAATTTTTAACAAATTTGTTTTTTTACTTAGAGTGTAACAAAAACAATAATAATAATAATAATATGAACGAGAAGAGTAGTTATGGCGGAATATGAACTAAACATGTTTATATGTGAATGCAGTTTAGCAAACAAATGCTTATATGAGTGAACATGTATATATGTGCTTGAATGTGCGCGCAAGTTGACTTGTGAATTTTTGCATTTGTATACAATTTTCAGTTATCGTTATATGTCTCAATTTATGTGCATATATATACATTTAAACAATAGACTAAATATACATATATTTATATATAAGTATCTCAATATCCTGTTAATTTCTCCACAATACAACAATAATTATAAAGTCAAGTTTATCTTTGCAATTTTGCTAATCATGTATGTACAGGCGCGAATAAAATGTGCATGAATTCTGCCGTGAAGTACTGCAATTGGCAACACCTGCAAATTCATTTCAAAAATCAATATCAATTTTCAGCAAAACTCCGGTCATAATAAGTTAACTATTGGCTCTGTGATGGAGTATTGATGAATTTTTCTTTACCAAAACAAGATAAAATTTAAGATATCTTGTTCAAGACATTATAGGTCGTTAGGTACGACTTTTCCTAATTAATTGGACAGTTGGACAATAATTTGTTTTATAAAGCTGTCATCATGAAAATGTAAACTTTGCTAAGCCAGGCTATGTATCGTGAACATAAGCAAGTAGTAAACAAAAACAAAATATTTGATGAACATCGCGGTTGAAGTAGCATATAATAATACAATAACGTCGCCGTATTTATTTAAATATTCGATTTACTTGCATCAACATTCCTTGACTTCTAAATTAACGCCGTTTTGCTATAACAACTAAAAAACATTAGTCGTTTCCATCACATTGATTCTCTGAGGCGTTTTTTTTTTTTTTTTTTTTTTGCGTTAGACATGACTCTTCAAAGAGTAATTTCTTCACATATTGGTGCAGTGCCCTACACACAGCTCGTTCTCCATGTCAAAATTGATACTCTTAAAATGGCGGAATTGCATACTGTCCAAGAATGATGACCATATGTTTCCAATTACAATAGGCGACTATTAACAACATTTTAATCGCAGTTAGTTCGGTATTTTCATTGTTTAAAAAACTATGCCCCTTACAGCTCAACGAACCGATATATACTGACTGTGGCATAAAGTCTTCAGTTGATCCATATTTATCGCTGCAATATCGAATATGATATATCATTAGGTGTAACCCCGCTTGGAAATCTATAAAACTTAAGATTACTTTAAATATTTGGAGAAACTGATTGCGAATTGAAGACAACATTTCTGTGCAAATAGGTACATCCACGTAAAGGTCATAAACACGTAATTTGCTTTGAAGAATTCAGTCGTAAAGTAAAGGAGAAAAATTTTCTCACCGGCCTACTAGGCTGCGTACTAAAGAGGAAAATGAATTTGTACCACTCCAGGTAATAGAAAGAGCCCATGCAGAGAATCTCGGAGGCGTCTTATAACTAATACATAAAATACTCACGAACTCTTCCAAAGAAAACTTATGACCTATAAGGTTAGCAATGGCTTTTTCTCTCTCACCAGATCCAAACATGTGCGGTATATTCAATTATTATTATTACTATTTATATCGAGTGAACTAAAGCGTCGTCTACTCTTCTCGGCTTTAAAGGTTCACAGAGAACGGACTTAAGTTCGACATTGACAAATTGATTATCTTAAAATATTTACAGCGTCTTTGAATTGTATAATATGAACAAGTAAAAACCTTATAGCCTGCCTAGAGTTATTCATACAACGTCTTTTCAAAGCAAGGCATTGTGGGAAGCGTTCGAAAAAGTTATCCAATCTCAACTATTTTTCATAGAGTTCGTTCATGGGCACAAACACGTCGGGATTATGTCTCAAGACTACGGCCTTTAGGTGGAACACAAGAACAAGAAGAAGACAAATAAACAAGATTAAATCGATATGTATAATAAGAGATGGGTCTTTCTCTAGTCTTTTTTGTGAGAGGATCGCCTTTCGATCCGTTCCTCTGCGTTTGTTTTAGAAGTGAATATTAATCTAGAAACTTCTTTCAAAATATGAATGTTGTTTTTTTTTTCCTCTCTCCAAACTAAGTTCTTCTAGAATCAGGAACAATTAAGAAAGTTTAATTTGGAGAGAATTCCGCATATATGTTATGTTCGGCACCTTAAGTGAATGTATAAATTTATTCAAGTGCTTATGGAGTTGTGTTATTTGGCATAAAAATATAATTTGAAATTTCATATAACACATGCAGCAGGTTTTGTTGCGTTTCTGCTCCACCTTACGACCATCGTATACGTCGTACATCATTGCAATTTAAGTTAGTGATCGTTGTTAAAAGATTCTATCCAAACTAAAATATTAATGCGTTCATTTATGAACATTTATATTTGTAGACATACTTGAAAACAATCTCATAGCAAGTCAGCAAAAGTAGGGACACGTGTAAGCGTTGCATGGGTC